TTTAACATCCAAGGTTAGTTCCACCAGTCTGGTACTTTTAATTACTGTGTGTCATGTAGATAAATCTTGGGCAAAGACCAATTGTTCACAGATAAACCTTACCTAGACATATATTTCTTGATCTTATGTATAATTTGTCAGTAGGTTATAGGAATAATATGGTTCCCTCTGGTTTCTTGTTTATTATTTTTAATCTTTGACTATGGTAAACATGTTCCTGGATAAAAAGAGTTAATTTTGTTAAAATACCTATTATACCCAAAGTAAGCTAAAAATTCCATGCAGTCTCAATGACTTTTTTTAAATAGAAATAGTAAAAACAATTCTGTAATTCATACAGACTCACAAAAGAACAACAAAGAAACTGGAAGTATCACATTTCCCATTTCAAAATACATTACAGTCACATAATCACAACAGTGTGGTGCTGGCATAAAATAGACCCAAAGCCAAAGGACTTGCATAGGTATTCCTCAAAGATGTCAAAATGGCCAACAGGAACAATAACAACAACAAAAGTGCTCAACATCACTAATTATCAGAGAAATACAACTTAAATCTCCACTTAAAACTCCACACTTTCGGGGTGACCATCAGTTTAGGCAAGAAGTGCTGCTCAAAGTGTTGAGAAACTGCAGGTTTTGCTTTTTGTTGGCAGAAAAAGCCAAATGGTATTGCTTCTATGGAATGTATAATTGAAATGTTTCCAAAAATTAAAGACAAAACGGCTATATGATCTAGAAATTATACTTCAGGACATTATCAGAAAGCCTAAAACCAGAATCTCAAAGGGATACTGTTCCAATGTTACCTTGAAATCATTCATAATAGCCAACATATAGAAACAACGTACATGTTACATGTCCCTGCACAGATAAGTAAACCAAACATGATAGAGATACACACTAAAACATCACCTTTTAAAAAGAAGTTCTAACCTACACGATAATAAGGATGACTCTTGAGGATATTAAAATCATGATTCCACTTAAATAAGGGAGTCACTTAATCCAAGAGTTTATGATCTCAGGATATAGAGAAAGGAAGAGTTATTAACCAAAGAGGCATAAAGTTTCAATCACATGAGGGTCTAGAGATCTGCTGATTAATACACTTATGGTTGATAATATTTCACTGGACATCTGAAAATTTAAGATAGCTGCTGTTATATCACAGCATAATGAAATGTATAAAATGTTATATGAAGGGGTATGGAGAGATGGCTCAGCGGTTAAGAACATCTCAGCTGACAACTGTCCGTAACTCCAGTTCCAGGGGATCTGATGGCCTCTTCTGTCCTCCAC